CGCAACGTGGAGTGATAAATGATCCCGCATTGGTTTGACAGAGATGCCACGAAAACGTTGGTGTTTTACCAATTAAAATCATAAATGTGTCACTGTTTGTGTACTCGGTTCTTACAACCATTAACCATGCACTATCGTGCGCAGGTTTTTGTTGCTGTCCTTTGGTTGCCCATTTGGATAAAATAGCAGAATGATAATTAGAATGCTGAGAGAAGAGCAGCGGAAGATAGCACATTTTCATAGACTGAAGTTACAAGAATAATGAGTAGATGCATGAGCGCCNCCGTTTGCGACACCCAGCCATATCGCTGTGTCTCTAACCGCCGGTAACCATGATCTCTGGGTCCCCAGCCAGGGAGCCTAACGGGACCTATGTGAGCCAGTCTCCTGGTCAGGGTTTTCACACTCTCATGCCAGGTCTTAGCTTGACCGCACTTCACTTTTTTCCAACCGCTACCTGCCTCGCCAAGCATCGCTCTCCGTGGCAACCTATCTGGTGACATGCGTAGCACATGCCCTAATCAGCGTAATCATTGGAGTTCGACTACCTGTTCCAGTGGACGACCGCGATTACCTAAAACTCTACGCCTGATCTCAGCATTGATCGTCCGGTTTCCCCACCAGACTCGTGCAATGCTACGTAGACAACACTGTTTGTGTATACAGTAAAACGGGTCAACAGTAAGCTTCCAGCTTTGGAGCACAGGGAACCGACACTGTTGTGCGATAAGTTTAGGGTTTAAGAAAAGTAGGTGAACCAATAGTGTGTGTTGCACAGGTAAGACAAGACAGACAGATAACATCACCAGTGCGTCACATGTCGCATAGCCTTCCATTGTCTACTCATTTGGAGCGAGTAGCTTATCATCGATGATCCGACGACCGAAAGAGTTTGAAGGAAATTATGTCGAACGTAGTGGGGAAAAGTGACTGAATGCTTTCATTCAATAGTGCAGCAGCCCTGTTCAAACTACACATACATTAAACAACTCCAATATTGTATTGACCTCGCTAACCGTTGAACAATTCAAATACCATGTGAAATTCGACTGTATATGCGTACATCTAAATGGGTATTTGAGATTTGACGGTACAGATAATCTTCTAAGAATACAAACGTCGGAGAGGATTTCCTTTGTTAAACAAGTCAACACTGTGGTTCACGAGTAAACGGGGCGTCGATTTAAGAAGGGAACGAAACTGGACCTAACGAATGAGGCCTTCCGGACATGTGTAGAACGCTGTTTGTTGGAGCGTCGGACATTAATCTGTGGTTCGGATTCGACCTTCAGGTCCCACACAAACGGAATCGCCACGGAATGGCGTATTATTGTCCGGGGTCACCAGCTTAAGTGAGCTGTGATGAACCAATGAAGTATGAAAACTTAACCTGTGATAAATCGCTTATTCCCGACTTTACTTACTGGAGCAATCCCCCAGTGAGCGAGCGTGGATGGTCAAAGGGGCAACAAACCGTTGCCATTGCGGCTAGCTTTTTCTGACGATTTATTGACAAAGAAATTATTGAGAAAATTTATTCGGGTCGCTGAGGCATATCAAACTACTGTGTGTTCGCTGCAAAAACCTATGGTCTATTGCCAATCCTTTTTGCTCGTAGAAAAGATGTTACCAAAAGACAGCAACCGAAAGCACTGTTATCATTTGCATAGGGCAGGTATTACATATGGGACACGGGAAGGGTCAGGTTCTAAAACATTAAAGTGAGAAATACGGTTTTGCGATGAACCGGCATAGCATGTCATTGACTCTGGAACTGCCAAAGGTATCAGTTTGGTCGGAAAAGAGTGTCACGACGGAGCTCAAGGAACCCGTCAGGTCGCGCAAGCATCCAAGTCACACCACAACCACGCTCGTGACCCGCCTGGTAAGCGGAGTCTGGATTGGATGACTGCAGGACAAATGAATCAACAGTTATCCGGTGGATCAACCGAAATGCCAAGGATGTAATCTGATTGGTGCATCATTTTACTGTTTTCGTATGCCTGATTTTAACCAATATAATGGTATCGAACCTTAATCATGGAGAATACTCTGACTGCTGGATCGAATAGTGTTCTTTCGCCGCGTTGTTGGTGGGGGGCTAAGCGAAAGTTGCTGGTGTCAATCGTACGTCTAGACAGTGAATGCAGCAGTAGGTGCCCTGGATTTTGAATGGTAACCATATCCTTGTATTTCATGAAATGCTCTCATACAAATAAGTCTATCAGAAAGAATCGACTGAGGAAGCTCTATTCACTGCCTTATCGTGGTGGAGATGATTTCCACAAAATCGAGAGGATGAAAAAGCCAACATGAGGGGCTATAATCGGGTTGGTAGACCACTGGTAGTTTACCTAGGGGAGTTGGCAAAATCCCTGATTCCAAACCAACCAAGAGGAAGCGTACGAACCAAGAACACACTTTCCCGGTTGTAGCCATGGTCCCCGACGCGATTGGGTATCGAGGTGAATTGGTCACCCTGGACGTTTGGCCCCGTCCAAAGAGTTAATGATCACATGAACTGGACACCAGTCCCCAATGGATTAAGGTTTCTGCACAACACCAGGCTGCCTTCTGGGTCAGGCATTGACTAGCAGATGGCTGCGGTTGTTAATGTCACGAGAAAATTCAATTGCGTTAGCTTGTGACATTCCGTCTACTAGCAAATCACGGCCAATTTCTTTGTTGTAAAAATTGTTATACCGCGATTGGTGAGGTATGCAGTCTGGAATTACATACTCGTAATCCAGTCATCAAAATCATTCTTGTCCAAACTGGGAAACTGCGTGAACAGGGACGCATCGTGTACAATAGTCTCGCAGGTGTCAGGTTAGTTCAATAGGCATTTAGTGCAAATGAGCCGTTGCCTTTATTTTGAATCTACGCCGGTCGTTATTGGTTTCACTAGCACAACACCGACCAGCCGTACCAAATTCACACAGGCAAAACAATGCTCCAGTTCAACATTCTAATAGTTTTATTTGCTGATCGGTTTTAAAGCAAACGCGAATCATGCGCGGTGTCCCATTTGGCAGCAACTTAATCTTGAAATAGCGCCCACGACTGATTGTAGGTGACGATAATGGGTAACACTCATTTTATCGAACATCATCACTTACAAACTGCATTAGTTACACCTACCCAAGAGTCCAACGAAGCGATACAACCATCCTTTGCAAAAATAGAAAATTCAAAACCGATAAATTCAAAAAGAACGATATCGCGTATTTAAGAGCCTGGAGCCAGAGACGTGGGCCTAACTGACTAAAGCGCAATCCCCTCACCTGATCTGCATGAGCGAGCTGCAATTAACAGCTTTCTCACCATCTAGCTCCCGTTTACTTTACAACCACTAGCCGACCAACTGAGCACAGCATGTCATTGCAGTCAGTTTCGATCCATCAATGACCCGCGTTTCTCTGATCAAGCTCCTGGCTGAATTCCGGAAATTCGCTACCTACTTAACATCAGCGTTCCTGATTCAATTATCCCGGAACGCATAGCGATACAAGTGCTCACAAACCAATGAACCTTGTGTGGATTCTAAACATATGACAGATTCTTTGCCAAATAGCCATATTAACCTATCGACCATTGCCTGACAAGCGGATGCTACGTGCTCGAGTAGAAAACGCCAGAAGGATAACCCAAATTCCCACGAAGAAGTCAGGTAGTGAATTTTATTCATTAATCCCCGGACAAACCGCGTTTTGAAATGGGCCAGAACCAATCCTGTATTAGCATTTTGCACCTTCCCGGTGTGAACGTAGGTTACGTCAGTGATCAAGCTAAGTAGAACAACATCTGGAACATATGTGAATAACTACTCCGCAATGCAACGCCAGGCAATTATTTGACTTGGGAAGAAAATCAAAACCGTCACATGAAAGTGAAATGGTAGTGGTTAAATAAACTGAACTGAACTGAATCAGAGAACACCTAATAAACTGATGAACAGCACCAATAAAATGACCCAACAGATGTAGCAGCCTACTAAAGTGCCTGTTCAAATGAGAGGTTATCAAACAAAAACGATGTCCGAATCTTTTCAACCAAACAAACTAGCGAGACATGCAGATACCAAACTCCTATACTCCCAGCGGAGCGATTCAAAGCCATGCACTAGTTGCGTGAAACCGGAATGCTGCTACGACTAAGCCGGAACATACGGACAGACTACTGGTGACAAGTTTTCCTATTTGTTACCAATTGATTAATTTTACAATAGAAAAGCATCCACAACTTGCAAAAAAGATTTTGATTAGTGTTGCTGTTTAGGTCTCCGATAAAAGCAACCAATCACGCGACACGAGTCGGATAGCGGAATATAAACATAAGTGATATGAGAACAAACGTTAAACTGGATGGTGGACAAATACCGGTTGTACAAGCCTGGGAGAAATCAAAATGTTCAGAGTACAAAATGAATTGAGAATAAATTGAGACTCGATTCAAAGAAAGCGAGACACATTGCGCAGACTGCATGAACACATTGCTTACGCACCTGAATATCTGTGAAAGCGATCACTCCAGACTGTAGCTTAGCTTCAAAGTTAACGGCCCACTAAAAAAAATGTTAGGAGTCGAAAATTGAGCATGCGCGTACTAGAATTATTTGGCTCAATGTATGCTCAATGAGATGTGTCAGGAACAACGCGGCAGACTGTTCAATCCGTGGGCAAGCCGACTATAGGAGGAAAAGAAAAAAGCGGTGCTGTTACAGATCAGATAGGCACATACTCTTATACACGAGATCACTTTGTCATTAGGAAGATAGAGCGTCTTCTTTTTGCCTCGTTCCACCAACGACCGGAGATCTTCGATCACCAAATCCGGAGGTCTCAATTTACAAGGGAAACTATAGTCCAGACGGTCGCACACATCACTGACAGACTGTGGTGCGGATGGTTCGCATAAATTCTTTACAATATCTATGGTATAATCCAGAAGGAATGCTCGAGCGGATGAGTCTAAATGCAATGTTTGTTTATTAGAACTGTGACAGTGATACTCCAGCAGTTTGTCGCAAGCAACATCAAGTAATCCATTGTGGAAAATTCGGTCCAACGTAACATGTGCGGAAGAGATGCTCTGGTTGCAACTGACGGATAGTTTACTCGACATAGTGCTAGAAAAAAAATGAGGAATTTTTCGTTGATAGGATTATGGGCTAAGGGACAACAGAAAATGTTATGGATGATGCGATACTACAATACAAAGGATTTATTGAAACGCGGCCATACGAATAGTATGCATAAATAAATCTGCTTACAGAGCATACAGTAGTGTTGATGACTGGCCCATATCCTTGACTTAGCTCTTACGTTTACTTCCACTTCATTCTCCCAAACCACTTCTGGTTATTCGGTACATAACCTCAGTTAATTATTGAACTCAACTTGGTGGCATATTTTACCACCCGACTGAAGGCCCATTTTTTTAAATTACGACTCAAAAAATTGGACAGTTTTTTTGACTTTTTGGAGTGTTATCCCTGAAATGACTGCTGCACAGTTCTTATTTTCGTCCATCAACAGAAACCCAACATTCTTGGCCCTTTTCAAAGCAGTTCCACGTAATTTCTACCTCTCAACTTTCTACAGATTTGATAAAACGCACGAAAATGCAGTGGTCACTGCCTCCCAGGTCGCCTCAAGCTTCACTTTACGTACCTAATCTATTCTTTAACCGGTTTCAGCTTTAGTTCTTACAACCATTAACTATGTACTTTAGTGCTACTGCTCAGATATCCCAATCTTTCTTTAGCTCTTTGTCTTTCGTACCCAACCCCATCCTTCCACCCCTTCTTCCGACCCGTAACATTCCCTCAGACAACTTAGTCGTCACTCGCCAAAGGCCATTCCCAAATAGCACTGTAGCTGGTTTTCCCGTAATTAAAGTACAGATTCAGAATCTTCGTCAACCTCTCAATCTGAGGGCTTTCAACGTGAGGACTCTTATGCAGGTAGGTCAACAGGCATGTCTTGGGCGTACAATGGAGTCTCTAGAAACTGATGTCTGTAGCGTATCGGAGACACAAATTTATGATCCTAGTATTATAAGCAACCTGAGTGC